GGTGCTAGGGGTTAGCGCTACGGGTTACGAGGTTTGTTTTGTGCGCAAAACTTGGGCAAGTCGGGCGCAGGCGGCCAAGTTGAACCTGAGCGCTGAAGACCCTACGCCCCAAAGCCCTGCACCCTCAAATCCCCCCTTTCCGGGCTGCCAGGATTGGTTCCATTGCGCCAGAAGACTGTATCCAGCAAGGCCGACGAATTGCCGTGGTGACACCTGGCAGATTTAGATAGCAATCCTATTGTGCTGCGTTTAAGAGGGATGGCACAATTCTTGGACTGTGATGGTAGCCTCCCCAATTCTTTGAGGAACCTCAATTATGGCATGCAGCCGCCCAAGATTTCGAGCTTGTCATTGTCAGCATCCTTGACCTTACCCGCAACCTAAGCTCAACGATTTCATGAACAAACTGTAAACGCGCTTTCAACCTTGGAAGCTGAGAGGGCTTCAGCTGACCTTTGGGCCACGGCCTCCCCGAGCCCTCACAGCTGAACAAGTTTCTGGCGGCAGCCTGCGTTATGCCCCTCCCCAACCTAAACTTTGGATTCCTGGCAGTGTAGCGGCACCGTGCGAAATTCTGACTGCGGGGACTTTTATCCACTGCCGTGCAGAAAGCCGTACAGGCATGGGGTTATATTGTGAAACATGGTGACATATAGGCCCCAACTCAAATCCTGAACCGTTTGCTCAACATGCGTAAAGACTTTCAATCCGAACGCTGACGTGCCCCCCAGGTAGAAAACCTGCCAGATCCCACTGAAAGTTGAAGCTTCATGATGAGTAGTAGGATGGGAATTGTGAGTGGACATGCCAAGACGAGCTTGGAGAGCATGCTTTGCTCCCGAAACTTGAAGAATGTGGTGTGCCCACACTCAGCAAGTCTCGTCTATCGCCGTTAAGACAGCTCAATTAAAGCCCTGCAGATTTCGCAGGCCATGGCACATGTCCCACCTTACTGAGAAATACAAATTGTGTATGCTTTCGCCGCCCAGGAACATCAATAGGTGCAGCATGGCTGGATTTGAGCTGCAGTGTTTCTGTCATCTACTTCGGTAAGGGTTCCCCCACTTCTGTGTTTACTTGCTCGAGTTCAGGGTGTATCTCTTTGAGGCTTTGCGCAAAGTTACTGGTCTTCTCTTGGCGGGGGGTGCTCAGCGAAATTACACGTTCAGAGGACGTATACCTTTTGGGCCAGCTGTTCCGGTTGGAGGACATCACTTGTTAGCTAGCACAGGGGAGTTACGACCGGGTGGAACTGATAAACCTTTTACAGGACTTAGCATCATGCGAGCATTTAAATCGAGGGCTGGATCATTGTGTTTAAACTCCAAAAGCTACATAAGTTGCATGCCCCTATACTACAATACTTCATCATGCCAACTGAGGAATGCGACATCGCAATTTTCAGATCCCAACACGGAACCAGATAGCGTGAGTAGCTGGAAGCCTTGTAAGTTTGTCTTTGTTTTGTGGAGTTTTGCGCGTCCATAGCTGCTGCCATAGCTCGCCAAGAGGTTTCTATCATCTCTGTTGCCCAAAAAGGCCCGGTGGTGTCGGTATTCCAGAAGTGCTCTTTGAAGCAAAAGGCACGCATAAAGGATCCGGAAGTCTTGTTGAATATCAGCGTCCGCATGATTTCAAGCACTCCAGAATCGGGGTGCAGTATCCTCCTCAGTTATTTGCCTTACTGGTGCTTCTGGGAGAGTGGGGGAGCGCCGGGAGAGCACAGTCCAAATATTATCCACCTTGAATCCCATATAACAATCCCGTTATTCACTCCCTCACTCCCCCTTAAGCAACATCAAGAGCAAACCCTAAAATCTAAAAATGAATCTTAAGCCCTACATGAGCGGCTGTTTCAATTGTCTCCCACCCCCTCAGAGAAAAAAACACATTATGTGGCTGGTGTTCATGCTCCTAAGCCAAGGCCTAAGCTCCGCTAATTAAGGCCCCTACATGTTTCAGAACTTGGAACTATGTCTCACCTGTGTGTGCCTTTAATCCTGGATTCTCGTTCATGTGCTTTATACCCTACAAGATGGGTCCTAATTATGGGTGCTTAATTGGGCTTCCGGGTTTACAAGCCCCTCTGCATGCGCCTTCCTAATCCCTAGGCCCTTTAACCCCACAACACACCACATCCTCGATCCTACAAGCACTGGAAGCTACCAAGGCTATCCCCCGCGCGAGTGTGCTGAAGATCAAGGCTTCCCTGAAACCTATGTGCCGGAGCCTCAGCACGTGGGACGTATGGGAGATTCCGAAAGTAGAGCCCGCTTGAGGCTCAGGGCTTAGGATGTATGGCAGTGTTTAGGGATGAGGGATGGGGTTTAGGGCCCTAAGGGCTCCCATCACAAGTTCAACGCGGGTGGTGAAGTATGGATGCTTATGTTGGGGGCTTGGCTGTTTGAATCAGTATTTCGGGAAATTGGCCAACGTGGCTTCAGAATCTAGCCGGGGAATCTGGGTTAATGCTTGCTTTCATTTTCAATGACTTCTTATTCAAGTCCGGCACGCAGTCGCCTCGTCTATCCCGCGCGGGCATGAAGTACAGTATACTGACTGGCTTCTCACGAAGAAGGTGCCCGGGAGCCTTTGGGATTTGTGGAATCGCGTAGAGTTTTTGGGGGATTACAGGGGCCCCCTTCAGGACCCTACAGGGGAAGCCAATATTGATATTGAAACGAAAGAGTCGTCCGGTTTGGTTCAGCAGGCGCCACGAATTTCAACGGGCATCCTCGCTTAGGATTGTCAAGTTTAGGGTTTAGGGAAGCCAGCAGCCTCAAAACAAATGGAACGGCAGACGGCCTGTGTTAAGGATGTTGTTATCGCCTGAATCCAAGCAAAAAGCGGGGAATCTTACGACCGCCCCCAAACCTGTGTCAGAACTCTCAGCACTGGAAGAAGAGCTACAGCCCGAAACAACCTCATGTGCCCTGCAGGTGTGCTCCCCATGAGGCCTGGGGCTGGTTCTGAAAGGCTTAAGGCTTTAGGATCCACGTATTTCGCCAGGGATCCACGTAACAGACAGTCAGAAGTAGATGACACTGGCAGACTTCGGAGCCCAAAATAAGAATTAGTAAATTCTTTGTATGCTTGGAGCCCCAGGCTTTGTATTATAGTGTTTACTTTGGGCTTCAAGGCGTGAATACCTTCAGGCAGAAGCAGAAGTAGGTACGTTTTATTTGGATACTAATGGGGTCTCAGGATCCGCTCATATCCCTTTAGACAAGAACCCTGAAAACCAGTATCCGAAGTAAGCATTGAACCAGCAAATGGGCCTGTTTAAGACAGGCTTCCGTCTGAAAAGGAGCTATCTGAGGTTCTATGTGGTAGTTTCCCAGGGACCCTCATTTTGAGAAACCCCCATGTTAAAGGGGAGGGTATCTGTGGCATGGGAGATGGAGCAGGCAGGAGGCTGCTTGACAGCGATTCTTCGATTGTTTACGCATCCTAGAATCTAGAATCCTTGGAAGGGTTAAGTAGGGGATTGTACTAAAAGGGTTAATGGATTATAATAGAGGGCATTATTACAGGGGGTATTAAGGGGGATAGTAGGACTTTAGACTATGGCATTCGGAACGGCACCGCTGGTGTTCATCACGTGCTGCTTCGCACTGGGGACTTTTTTGTAGCCTTGCGTGAATTGTCTCCCTCGGATCTACAGTCATAAGAACTTGAACGCAGGCTTGAAAGGCCCCCCGGCCCCTAAGGCTTGTAATAAGGAGTTCAGGTTTTGAAGCCGGAGTTCTGTGGTATTGGATCTGCAGTCATCCCAAATATCGGTGAGCCCAGCTAGAGGCGGTCTAGTGGGAATGGTATGGATTTGTCTTGGAGGCTATAGCCTGCTGCCTGCTGCAGGCGAGCACCTGTAATGAGCTTCTGATGACACAGCAGAGCTTGACCGGATGCACTTCGAGACAGTAGCAGGCGGATTGTGCATTAGAACGATCGGCCTTCAAATTCTCAACGGATGTCCCGAGCCTCGTTTCGAGAGCTAGGTTTAGCCCTATAGCCAAGGCTGCAGAAACCTCTAGGATTGATAGGAGCACAGGAGCAGATTCTACTTCACAGGCCACCATACAAGCTGCAGCAATCTTTGAGTGGCACGTGCCCATGACACCTGGGTGTTGCTCAAAATGGGGGACCTTAAGGACCCAGTGGGGTATACGGTATACGGGGACAGAAAAAGGGATAACAAGGGTCCTTAAGTCATTATTAGGCATTATCTAGGGATTGTGTGGAGAAGCCCCCCTACTCTTCCCATCAGGATTCTTTGGATTTATGTTCTTTCGAGGCATTCGGAAAGTTATGCCAGGTACTCTGCGGTATCACAGAAGACCTGGAGATCTTCAAGGATGATAAGGACGGACTTCTGAAGAGTCTCCGCTTGGATGATCTTCCCATAAACCCCAAACCCTAAACCCTTAAACCCTTATACCATAGACCCTTCTTCCAGGGCACTTCTCCTAGGTGGGTTCTCAGAAATTCAAGTCCTAACCGACCAGGCATAAGAAATGCAAAAAGTAAGTACGCTGGAGTTCCCAGGTTTGTGCTAGGGAAGGGTGGCCGAGGTGCGGGGAACCGAAGCTTTGCCGGACCCTGAGGTACAGCATGATAATGCTGTGGGTAGATCTGTGTTTAGTCGTGAAGGGGAACAATCACAGTCCTCAGAAGTACTTGGGTTGATTCTTGTGATCCTCACTTAATCAACTGCCGACGTGCTTGATCTTCGTATTCCTTATCAGCCTTCAGTATACAGCCCCAGGGGAGATCCAGAATTGCACCCTCTAAGCTCTATCACACCGCGTAAGATGTTCCTGTGGCATATTCCCTCAAACCTAAACCCAACACGTGCCGCCTGTAGATGAAGGCCATGCCCTGTGGGCCGCATCCCAAGGTAAGCAGAGACTCCACGATGAAAAAGCTTTTTGGGTCTGACGGGGTCAGGGTAGTGTAAGGCTTCGGGCAAGTAAAAGTTCCACCAAGACACACAAGCTAAGGAAATCCTTCATTTGGGGAGAGCCCATCGAAGACTCTCCGGACTCCAAAGTCGTGCCCTGGCGGCTTTTCCTGCGCAACTGCCCAATTTGCTGTTGCCAAAGACTACATCAGGCATCGTCATGATATTTGGTTCAGGGTGTAGGGTGGGAAGTGGAAAAAAAGCTGGTTGGTAGAGTCGTACTTGAAGCTCTACCTGCAGCTGACGCTGGTGTTAAAGATCGCAAGCAATAGGATTCCAGTGTGGGGGTCCGTGATGCCAATTGCCAAATCCATCCTTGGAACATCCTTAGGACCAGGTCTGTGGCACTCTCAGAAGCCCCAACATATCACCTAGCTTCTTGGACAGTTCATGGATTTGGAAATACCAGCTGAGTTTACAACACGGCCTATTGGCACCCTTAGCCATCATGGTCTACCAGAACCACTGATGCTTCCCTGATGTTTCACATCTATTTTGATAAATCAAGGTTGTACTTGTGTAACCATGAACTGAATGCTGGTGCTGGGGAAGGAATTGCCTCTCGCCTAGGCAATTTTGAATAGGATCTTCAAAGTTGCAGCTTTCAAAGCATTAGCTGTGGATGCCAACGCGTGAAGTCTTAAGCCTATCGCTGGGCGTCAGGAACATTCTGGAACGGTTATGAAGGCCCTGAAGCATCATCCAGCACTGAAGCCTTTTTGCTTATTCAGGTACGCTTCTTTGGCTACGACCCCGACATCGACTCGGATCTGGACATCAAGCCCTGGGTGGAACGGCCCTTCACAAGCTTCTTGGGTCGAAGATGTGCAGTTAAGGTATCCGCGAGATGACGTGGATGATTACATAAAACAGTTCTGGTCCGGCTGGGAAGGTCCACCATCACGTAGCATGGCTGTTTAACGATCCAAGGGTTTCTGGCCATGCATGGACAACCTAATCAGAGTTCCATCTGTTCTTGATTTTGATGCGCACATATTCCAGAGGTTTGTTGGAAGGTCTATTTTTCATAGCATATCCCAAGTTCTTCACAGCTCACGCCTCGCAAGTTATCATGAGCGAGAAAAGGAAGGCTCTCCTTTTCTGATTGCTACAGCTAGCTCAATATCCCTGCAAGCAAGCAGACTTGCTGAGACACGATGCTGTGCTGCTCCTCTGCCCTTAGCAGACATAAGAAGGCATTGGCCAGAAAGTAGACCCAGATTGTGAGGGTTCACTGCCCACAGCTTCACAAAGGGACTACGATTCAAATCTGCTTGGGATTGCCTGAAGAAGTAGTGGGGCCCCCCATGTTTACACCCACTCGATCCCACTTGTAAGGAGGTAAAGGCTCAGTGCCCTTAACTACAAGTTCACCTTTGCCAGTTCATTCGAATCGTTATGACGGATGACTCGACTTGTTCCGAATATGCCTTCCAAGCCGCAGTCCTTATAACCAGAGCACCTTCAACCGACTACCCAGGCTTCCGGCTTAAGCCGATGGAGTCTTGCCAGCAAATCTTAGCACTTTCAGGATTCCAAGCACGCGCTCACAGAAGACGTACGGGAAGGGCAGGAACTCAGTGGAGGTCGAGGCCTTAAATAGTTGCGGTGGTCATCAGGAGGCCCGCCTCATGTTTCAGACCTTGGTGCAGCGCAGCGAAGGGGCTTGTAATTTCTGAAGCTTCAAAGTCTCTCGGCTTTGTATGATCGGAAGACAGGTGTATATGGTCAAACCAGCGGTCAGGGTCTGTTCCCTGTTACAAGCAAACTCCGTGCCCAACATAAAAGTTTTACATGCGAATGGGCTAGCCTTGAAGACCGAAACTCTCTGGGCTCCGTGAATGCTAAGATTCCCGTACTGACATGTCTTTCCCCAGCAGCAACCACGAGGTGGGTGCTTTTTGAAAGCTACGTACAATTCTCTCGCTGTTGGCACAACCTAGCTTGCTAGCTTTTGTTGCCGCTTCGGGTGCACCATCCTTGCATATAAGCAGAGAGGGACAGGAACGAGGGAGAGAGAGGCAGTGAGTCCATGTGCTTGTGCCAGGCTTCGTGGAGACCTGTAAAGGGCGTGTCTGGGAAGCAGAGGGCCCCAAGCGTATAACAGGTGTTCACATATGATCACATATGTAAATACAGGGCCGAAAAATGATTTCTTGCCAAATGCCTGTCATATTCGGGAGATGCTTGGTTAATTGTTTTTCAAATGCTCTAAAGTTCTAAGCGCATCGACCATCCTGAGACTTCATGAAGCATCATTTTGCAGGACATTGCCACACTCGACTTCGCCTTCGACCGGATTTCACCAACAACCTTGGCATCCTGGCCTGGATTTTACCAACAACTTAGGGGCACACTTATTTTAAGCCGCAAAACAATATGAAATCCTAAGCTCTCTGCAAACTGTTAAGGGTTCCCCAAAGCAGTACTGTGTACTGTACGATAATTTTGGAGCCCCGATCTGGCAAGCCCATGGTCTGGAAATTATACCTTTTACCTTGAGATGTGGGGTTCCCAAAACTAGGGGTACCTTTTTTGCGGGTCCGTATAATACGGCTTAGACTATTTTGGGGTCTATAGTCTATAGTGGGGTCTCCCTATTTTGGGAAACTACCATAGGGGTTTCGCATAAACAAGTCGCAAGATTAGATTGCATCATATTATCCTTCTTAAGTGCCAGGACCCCCCTAAGCTAATTGATTTCGGAAACCGACCAGTACAATGAAAAAGCGAGGAGGTGCATGATGTGGTCCTGTATCCCGTATGCTTGGTTCATGTTGAGAGGCATTCCCCTAAGGGTCCAAGGACCTAAATCATTGGGGGCCCCAAATACTACAAATATTTTAATATGTGGGCCCTAAAGCCCTATTATTTGGGTCCTTGGACCCTTGGGGTTCTAACTGAGGCATCAGCTTAAAAGGAGCCTAGAGCATTTGCGTCGACGTGTAGAGTTGTGGGATCCTATGCCAATTTGTAAAATGGCCCCTGATCTCCCCTTGTTCTAGTCCACGCGGGCTCCCAAGGCGTGACACCAGGTCCTTTTGACATTTGCAATTTAGAATTTGATGCGGTAGCGGTACCTCTTGACGGCATGCTTAGGAGCGGTGAGCTATGATAGCAGCAGCAGGAGCTGGTAGGTTCGCAGGCTGCATAACAGCCTGATGCCAGTAAGATTTTGCTGGACTTCTTTTGCAGAGCTTAGTGTCCATGTTGCCCAGAAGCGTTGTCCAGCTTCTGATCTGATGCAGTTGCCATTCTCCAAACAAAGCAGCCTGTCCTTTATTAATGTGCGGGATCTTGGTATTGGGCTTGGGCCCGAGCCTGCTCGCTCATGGCCATGCAGAGGAGAGGCGATCTGGAGTGTAATCGGGACGCCTTACGTCATGTTTGCAATCCGCCTTCGCAAGCACGGGCGCCAGGTTCTTCACTCCTTCAGATGTTCCAGCACCTGAAGCAGCCGGCACTGGTAGCGTTGGCAGTGTTTTCCTGGCTGCAGACGTGGTGGGCCATGGCCGGCATGCGGTGGCCATTTGTTCGACGAAGGATGCATACCATGACAACAGGGAGGTAATGCCCCTTCTGATCTTGGTTACTGGCATGGCGGTGACAAACGTGCTGGGTTTCCTGGCCCCTTGACTTTTGTTGGATTGCCGCAAACTTTCGTGGTTTCCTTTCGGGCCAAGGGCAGAGCTGTAGCAAGGCGTCTTGGTTTTTGATGCAAACTGGCATTCAAAAGCATCATCGAAACCCAACAAGGACAAAAAGTGTATTGTTTGCAAAGACCTGGGCATGTGGTTTTTGACGGTTGCATGCAGGAGGGATGGTCCGCATGTTCTATCGTATTGGCCCCAACACAGATGAGCATGACAGGTGCGCAATTCGCATTGAGACATACGTCCTGGATACACCCAAAGACTTGCAACTTTCGAATTGGTACAGGGGAATTATGGGCAACTACCCACCTTGGAATTACTCACTTCTAACTACAACGACCCAGGACTTCTACGGACATGGGAAAGTGCGAGAGGCTGTCGCAGCCCTGCTCGACCTTGAGCTGCCGTACCTTCTCCTCACTCAAGGAGCCTGACTGAGGGCTCAAATTTGAAAGTGTAGATTTGAGTGCCGTCTGCGATTGGCAAAAAGCACTGTCCCGTATCATTTTATGTCCAGTCGTGCGGCTAGGGCAAATACAGTTTTTTTTGTCCGGGATCTCCTGCAAGCGCATTCAAAATACTGGTGCTTAAAACAACTGTGAGTACACGAGAGCGGCTTCTGAAAAGAACCGCGGCGCAAGGAGCCAAGATCATGAAAGGGGAGACATCGCCCCAATGGGAGCGGCTGATGATGCGAGGGGCTATCTGGCGATCGTTGCCTTTGGCAAGTATCTGGTTTAGGGTTTAGGGTTTAGGGAGTTAGGGTTTAGGGTTTTGGGTTTTGGGGGGGATGTCCAATAAAAGGTGTGCCCCTTATACACCCCAAGAACTGAATCCTTTTCTTTGTAGGGGCTTCCAGAATTCATTCCGGACAGCCGCAAAAGGCGAAGCCGTGCTGTTGTTGTATGACTGTCATGCTGCGGCTTGTCTTTCTTCGTTTTTGGCAAAGTAAGGTATAAACACTTTCCTGGTCGCAAGAAGAAGCTGCATCACCGAGATACCCATGTGCCAGATGGCCATCTACCCTTCAGTACTTCTTTCACAGATTCATGGTGCCCGCTTTGTCCCGGGAGTTGTAGAAGCAACGTTAAGGAAGGCCCACGTTTGGGAGGGGAGCCGCCAAGTTCAGCTGTCTCAACAGACCTTGCAGGACGCCATCAAGAGGAGCCCGCAACTTGTCAAAGACGCCAGACGGCTTGCATTGAGTGGCGAGGAAGCTTCGTCTGACCTGTGGAGAGCATGTCACTGCACTGACTCTGCATGGCACTTGTCCAAGGGCACTGAACCGGAGACCGCTGTGGAATGCTCTTTTCCCAGGCTGACACCTGCAGTCCAAGCACGACATGAGGGCGTGGGCGGAATCTCGGGGCTGTTTGGATCCATCGGGTCCGGAAACTTGAGTGTCTTGAACACCTACTTCCTGGACATGTTGAAGGCCCGTGTGTCCGCTGATGATGCTGTGATGGAGGAGGCTCGCCGGTTGCTGTGGGAATCAAAAAGAAGAGGGACAGGCCTGGCCTACTTCGTGACTCACATCGCCCCAGCGTGGTACATTGTTGAGGAAGTCTTCTCCAGTACCTCAGGAACCCTGTATTCATCAAGCACTTCTGTTCCAGAGATCTACCAGAACAGAGAAGGCTTGCGATGGACACTAGCAAAGACCTTGCTGCTCATGCTAAACGCATGTCGACCTGCGGCGGGAGCCGTCTGCAGAGCGAGACGCGTACAAAGCGTGATTGGCTGGTCAATTGTGATGGTTCATGCAGCTATAGATGTCTTGCTGCTGGTCACTTTGCTCACGCTGGTGCATTGGTTTCTCGACTCCCGTCCAATTGGCGATTTCCTTGAGAAAATGATGCACTTAATGCAGCGTTACATCTACATGCTGCTGAAAAGTCTGAGTGGCAAGGATGTTGACAACATAGCCGCAACAGGTCACGGAGCAGGTGAGAAGATTTGGCCCCTCTTATCCCACCAGGAGGGGTTTGATTTTGTTGAAGATGCGAGCGCCACGATAGCGCCGGCTCTGGCCATTGCTTCCTATCAGCTTGCAAGAATGGCTGCTGGTGTGTTCTTCTTCTGTGCCTAGATCCCTGACCATCTAGTTTTGTTTCGAGATGTTTTGAAAACATTCTGATACCATACTGCACAAGGCAGGGTCTGCTCAAGTTTAACAATCGCACAATACCCTGGCAATGACCAAGGCAGCTTTTCGACAATGGTGGCCTACGCCTTGCTACCCGTCAAGCTAAAACCGCCGGTGCCGGT